AAATAAGGAAACGAAAGATGTTATTCTGAACTTAGAAAGGGTTTGGGACCATCCATCACGCAACATGCCAAATCACGTCTGAAGATATTACGGAGTGACGTAAAAATAAGATAATAATTTTGGTGAAAATGAAAACGGTCCTTTAAAAAAATATTTCTAGTTTGTTGTAGGGAGCTATAAGAGACGTGCCTATGAAAGTGAGTGAAACTTGAACGTTTAAATGAAGATTGGCTATTAGTATCACAATAAAAGAAATGATAACTATCTACTATAGATAGTAGTATTTTCACTCAAAAACGTCAAACTCACATAAAATATTGTTATCACATAAACATTGTTATTTTTCTAAATGGAATGCTTTCAGTATAGAAGGCAATGGGAACTAAGTAAGTGATTGATTTGACTATTCATCTTCACATCACTCATATTTCTCACTTACTAAATCAAATTTAAGAATTCTACATCAACTTGAAAAGGAACAAGTCAGAAACCACACAATGATAACATCTGACGCTTCTATCAATACTTTATCGCCCCGCGAGCTGAGGACGGCGGCGGGTGGCAAATCGCCGGCGAGGCGAGGAGAGTCGCCAGGGAGGGCCGGAAGCGCCGCAAGAAGGCGCAGCGGCAGCGACGGCAGCAGCAGCGCAGGGAGAAACGCGCTGCTGCCTTGCTCCTCGCCCCTAAGACCGCGGCTGTAGTGATTACGCTGCAGCCCGAGGCGGTCAATAGGGGCGTCACTTATGGCGACGTCCTCGCCAAATTGAAGGGGGCGGTATCTCCTGCGGAGTTCGGGGCGCCAGACGGGTTCGCGGTCAAGGTGACCGCTACCGGAGCCCGTCTTTTGGAGGTCCCCGGCGCGACCAGCGGCCCATCGGCCGACGCCCTGGCCGAGAGGCTTAGGGCGTGCCTCGGTGCGGACGAGGCTCGCGTGTCCAGGCCCACCAAATGCCTGGATGTCAGGATTCTGGGCCTGGACGACTCCGTAACGGAGAGGGAGGTGGTGGCCGCTGTGGCCAGGACGGGAGGGTGCCCTGCTGACCAAATCAAGGCAGGCGCCATCCGCCCGGACAACTCGGGGCTGCGCACTGTTGTGGTCAGCTGCCCCGTCACAGCGGCCAAGAAGCTGAAGGAGGGCAAAAGGCTCTTGGTGGGATGGGTCTCGGCGCAGGTCAAGCTGCTCGAGACCCGGCCTCTGAGGTGCTACCGCTGTCACGTGGGGGAGCACGTGAGCGTCAAATGCACCTCGGAGGTGGACCGCAGCGACTGTTGCTTCCGCTGCGGTCGGCCCGGTCACAAGGCCGGCTCGTGCAACGCCCCGCTGCACTGCAACGCATGTGCGGCGGCTGGCAAGCCGGCCAATCACCGGGTCGGGAGCAAGGGCTGCTCCCCTCCCGCCAAACCCAAGGGCAAAAGTAGGCCCTCCGCCGCCCCCGTCGTCTCCGCCGCCGCCGCCACTGCCACCGCAGTCGCCGCTGCCGCCACTGAGGAGGTCGGAATGGACTGCCAATAATGGCTCCATTCCGCCTCCTCCAGGCGAATATCAACCACTGCGCCGCTGCTCAGGATCTCCTGCTCCAGAGCATGGCGCAGTGGTCAATCAATGTCGCCGTGGTCTCCGAGCCGTACTTTGTCCCGCCCAGGGATCACTGGGTGGCGGACCTGGACGGCTCGGTGACCATCATCTCGTCGGCCGCCGCCGGTACCCCGACTCTTGAGGCTGCTCAAAGAGGCCGGGGTTGTGTCGCAGCACGGTTCGGAGAGCTCGCTGTGGTGGGCGTGTACTTCTCTCCGAACCGAACTCTCGCCGAGTTCCACAACTCCTTGAGGGAGTTGGTCACTGTCGTCGTCGGGTTCCGTTCCCTCCCCGTGCTCGTCCTCGGGGACTTCAACGCCAAAAACTTGGCTTGGGGTTCCCGGTTCACCGACGTCCGGGGTAGGATGGTGGAAGACTGGGCCCTTGAGACAGGCCTAGTCGTCCTGAACCGGGGTTCTGTCCCCACGTGTGTGCGGATGCAGGGCGAGTCGGTGGTGGACATATCGTTCGCCAGCCCTGCTCTGTCACCGCGTATTGTTGGCTGGCGCGTCATGGAGGAGGTGGAGACGTACTCCGACCACCGGTATATCCGGTTCGACGTCTCCGCCGAGTCCGCAGACCCGCCGGTCAGACAGGCCCCATGTGGCCCGCGTTGGGCGCTGAAACAGCTGGACCGGGAGCTGCTCCTGGAAGCCGCCATCGTGCAGGCCTGGGTGATACCACCGGTCAGGCCTGCCGACATAGACGATGAGGCCAAGTGGCTCCAGGACGCCATGTCCAGGATCTGTGACGTGGCGATGCCCCGGATCCGGTCGAGGCAACAAAAGCGCCAGGTGTACTGGTGGTCGCAAGAGCTAGCAGCTCTACGCAAGGCGTGCACTGCTGCGCGACGCCAGTACACTAGGCACCGCAGGCGCCGCATCCGTCCTCCTAATGCGGAGGCGAGAGAGGCGGAGTTGTACGAGGGATACAGGGCGGCCAAGGCCCTCCTCAAGGTGGAGATATTGCGGGCCAAGGAGGAGGCCCGCCGAGAGATGCTGGGGACTCTGGACAGAGATCCGTGGGGACGCCCGTACCGGATGGTACGCGACAAGCTCCGCGCCTGGGCTCCCCCGCTCACCCAGAGTCTCCGGCAAGAAGTCTTGGAGGAGGTGATTGGCACCCTGTTCCCTCGACTGTGGAGGGGGTTCACCCCTCCGTATATGACTCCGCCCCCTGCGGTGCCCGACGCGGGCTACAGCGACGACGACGACGACATCGTCCCAGAGGTGACCGAGGCAGAATTGAGAGCGGCGGTGCGCCGGATGGGCGCCAAGAACACCGCCCCAGGACCCGACGGCCTGCATGGCAAGGCATGGGTCCTGGCCTCAGAGGCTCTCGGGCCTCGATTGATTGGTCTCTACAGCGCATGTCTGGAGAGAGGCCAGTTCCCGCTTCTCTGGAAAGCGGGAAAACTGGTCCTCGTGCGGAAGACGGGGCGCCCTGCGGACTCTCCGTCCGCGTACCGGCCCATAGTGTTGCTCGACGAGGTGGGGAAAGTCTTCGAAAGAATCATTTCGAACCGCCTCGTCGCGCACCTGACGGACATTGGGCCGGACTTGTCGGACGGCCAGTTCGGCTTCCGCAGAGGGCGCTCCACGGTGGACGCCATCATGCGCGTTAGAGACCTCACGACGGGGACTGCAGTGTCCAGGGGTAAGGTCGTAGTGGCGGTGTCTCTGGACATCGCCAACGCCTTCAACTCCCTGCCCTGGAGCTGCATCTTGGAGGCACTCCGATATCATCGGGTGCCTACCTACCTCCGTCGTGTAATCGAGGCTTACCTGACGGACAGGTCCGTCAGCTACCCCGGTCACCGGGGCGAGTGGAACCGGCGAGAGATGTCACGCGGTGTTCCACAGGGTTCGGTTCTGGGGCCGCTCCTGTGGAACATCGGCTATGACTGGGTGCTGCGCACCGACCTCCCGAACGGCGTTAGCACAATATGCTACGCCGACGATACGCTGGTGCTAGCGCACGGGAGGTCACACCAGGCGGCGGCCGACTTAATGGCGACAGCGGTTGCGACAGTCGTTGAGAGAATCCGGCAGTTGGGACTCGAGGTGGCGCTCCACAAGTCCGAGGCCATGTGTTTTCATGGCCGCGGGAACGCGCCACCTCCGGGTGGGTCCCAAATAACGGCGGGAGGAGTTACCATCGGCGTCGAGACGACGATGAAGTACCTAGGACTCGTCCTCGACAGTCGGTGGAACTTCATTGAACACTTCCGACGTTTGGCTCCAAAGTTGGAGAGGACGGGGGCTGCGTTTAAACGCATCCTCCCCAACCTCGGGGGGCCAAACGCCTCCTGCCGGAGGTTATACGCCGGGGTCGTGCGGTCCATGGCCCTCTACGGCGCCCCTGTTTGGGCGCCTAACCTGTTGCGGCGTCCCGCTCGGACGCTGCTCATGGCACAGAGGGTCATGGCGATCCGAATGATCCGCGGATACCGCACGATCTCTGGGGAGTCGGCGAACCTCCTTGCCGGATTACCGCCGTGGGATCTGGAGGCGAAGGTGCTCGCGCGCGTGCACAGCATGCGCGCGGAGGCACGTCGCCGGGGCGAAACTCCGCTGCCGCGCCAGATAAGTGCGTGGCGGGATGAGCTCCGGCGCGATCTCATGGCGGAATGGCAGCAACGACTGTCGCAACCGAGGGCTGGGCTCGCTGCCATCGCAGCGGTAAGTCCCCTCTTTGAGGAGTGGCTTGAGAGACGCTACGGCGTCCTCACCTACCGCCTGACGCAGGTCCTCACCGGACATGGAAGTTTCGGGAGGTACCTGTGTCTGATGGGGCGGGAGGAAACGCCCGGGTGTCATCACTGCGAGGACCGCCCTGAGGACACGGTGGAACACACGGTGGGAGAATGCCCTTCGTGGGCTGAGCACCGCCGTGTCCTCAGGGAAGTGATCGGCGATGGCGACCTCTCGCGTCCGGGCCTAGTGCAGGCCATGATGCGGAGCGAGGGGGATTGGGATGCCGTCTCCTCCTTTTGCGAAGCAGTCATGCTAGCTAAGGAGGAGGCGGGACGCGTGAGGCAGCGAAGCGCTGCCTCCTCGCAACCCAGCCATCGCGAAGGACACACCGGGCGTCGGGGATCGCGGGACGATCTCCGGCCACCGTAAGCGCGGGCCTGCGGACGGCGAGCATGGGTGGCTCCCCGTCCGACCAGAAACAGACCCGAGCGTACGGCGCGTCGCGTTCCGCGCGCGCCTCAAAGAGCCATCAGACCACCACAGATGGGGCCCAATAGGGCCGATGCCGATTCGGAGTCGCGGAGAACCTAACGGGTAACCGGGGCTCCGGCTCGACGTGCAGGAGAAGGAACGGGGTGGTTTTTAGTCAGTAAGAGTCTGACACTCCCTCCCGCCTCACCCAGGCGGGGGCAGTCATTCGATGATTTTCCCCCCTTAAAAAAAAAAAAAAAAAAAATCAATACTTTATTTATAATCGTGTCCTATAAATTGATATGACTATCTTCGTGCAAAATTATTTACAGCCACGTCTATAATAATCGACCCTAAAATATATACAGTAAACAATACAAAATTGTGATCAGCAGTCGTTGTTTAATTAAACATTACAATTATAATTTACAAAGTCATAGTTTCGTGGGTACTGGTAGGTAACGTTACGTCACAAACGATATTTTGTATGGTGAAAGCCGTTTCAACAACCTTTGTTTTATCACTGGTTTGTTCAATGTCACGCTTGGAGCACTATGGCGAGGGCGAGGCCGAGGCAGGTCCAGCTCGCGGTGCAGGGGCTCGCACGGTCGTGCAGCGGCGGCCAGCCGTCGCGCCACTGGCCGCGCGCCCCTGCCGGAGGTCACATCGTCGTCACCATTTCTGAGAATATAAACCCTGTCAATACCCTTCAATTATTGACTTCACATAGACGAACGACAATATTGATAGAGAAAACCAAATTAGTTGACACGATGTAGACACAAGGCTCGCATACGAAGTACGTATTTACTACGCTGAAGGACAACCAGGACGAAAAAGCCGATAAGTAGGCACAAAATTATCACACTTGGGAAAAACATTGTTTGAAAATCGTTCACTTAAATTAACATTGAAAGTTTCGTGTTATCCGATTATGCTTTTAAAACTTCTGAGACCTACAGTAAAAATGGAAACTTTACTTTGCGAAAGACAAAAATGTTTGGACAATATTTAAATGTTACATAGTTTTCTTTTCACTTTCGTATGTAAATTAAATATTTTCTTGTTTCAAAATGAGACAGTGATGATCACGACGAGATAAATAAATTCTTCTGTAATACAAAAGAGGTCTGCTGTAAGCGTGGTAGGTAAGTTGATTTGTATATTTAAATATTTACCAAGGTTCTGCATTTGGTGTTGGCTTAGAACAATATACGGGTTGTCGAGACCTGGATCTTCCAGCACTCCGCGATGCAGCTGCTCCAAATGTCTTTCTGTGTCATCTGAACAACAGAAAGAACAACATTTTACTGATAATCGTAGGTAGCTACTTATGTTTCGCTTCGTATTGCAAGCTGTTTTACGAAGCCTTTCATAGTCCATAATTAATTGGGAAATTTAATACCTCAAGTTGTTAAAATATTTCATTTTCCGTCCTTAAAAATGGATCGAAACTATAACGAACTGCCAAACTTCCACGAATGAAGCTATTCTCGGCTTTTGTCTAAGGTAATATCTGTCTAGCCTCTAACTACTTGAACTTCAAACCATTTAACATTGCTTCATAATATCTCAATTAGTAAACAGTTAAAGTGACTTTGATTTCTATTTGATTCATAAAAGAGTTTATATTAGAATAATTGTTATTAGTATTGCAGTAATTTGTATCAATTATGCTAAATGATGATAAATTGGTTTAGATTTACCTGCGAATACTAGCTTTTAAGGTATTAGTGCTGCCTCGCCAATTTGGTAATGGCTCTCAGGGACTAAATCAATATTTTTCAGATTGGTGATATTTTATTCAACGAAACTCATTAACATATTCATTTTAAATGCGTAGTTAATTTTACGAGCAGGTATTTGAAATGTAATAGTGCTTACAAAATTATTGATTTATACCATCACGGCATCGGCTATTAATAGTATTTCTTATATTAAGTTTTCGGAAAAGTATAAAATTCTGGTAATATCGATACTTAATCGCCACTCAAACAAACGTCACGCGGCTTGCCAGATATCATTCGCTACATTTATACATGGTCTCTATTTTTTGAGGGCAAAACATACTATGACTTCTCCCGCCTTAGGTTATTAGGTAAAAGGGAGTGTCAGACTCTTACTGACTAAAAACCATATCGTTCCTACTCCTGCTCTTTGGAACCCCAGAAACCCCGGTCTTCCGTGGCTTCATATCGGGCATTACTACCTTACTGAGCCCCTTCTGTGGTGGTCATAATTAATTTAGATTAATATTGGATTATGTATCTGTCGTTAAAACCATACTCACATGGTAACAGCGTTGTTGTCGGCGGCGGTAACGTGGTAGTAGTTGTAGTTGTTGTTGTAGTCGTCGTAGTGGTTGTAGTCGTTGTCGTTGTGGTCGTCAACACTAGACAAAGATTAATTTATTAGTATTATTACAAGATGTATATTAAACGGTGAAGGAAAACATCGTGAAGAAACTTGGACTCATAATATATAATTATAAGTTTGAAATTCCCAACCCGTATTGAGCTAGTGTGGCGATTAATGTTCAAACCTTCTCCGTATGAGAGAGCTTTGCTCAGCAGTGGGCAATTATAGGCTGGTGATGATATTTATAGATGATGGTATACTTTTCTACAATAATAACTATTAAACACAAAGGCAATCCCCCATCAGCCAAGACATCTCGACCACGCTAAACACAATTCGTATTTTCCACCAATAAAGTAATCAAATCCATGATAATTCTATTCTGATCTTGTCTCCAAAACAGCATCTTGGAAACATAAGAAGCTTAAATAGAACAGAAACAAGTAAGAATGTTCTTAAATCCGAAACGAGAGCCAAGCAAGTTTAAATTCAATCCGACCGCTTACGATGCACAAAATTCAGACTAAGTGAAGGAGACTAAAAGCCCGTTAGGACGTAACGTCTTACCTCTGTCTGCACTTTTGAATGCGCAACTGAATAAGATAGATTTAGGGAAATATCAGCTTAATATTGTTTTGAATTTATAGTGAATACTGTTATTTAACAGTTACAGTAACTGTTAGTGTTAAATAGTGTTATAGAGAAAGGTGTGGATTGACAGACGATGTAGTGACAAGGATTGAAAAGGGAATGTTACGCTGGTCATGTAGAAAGGATGGATGTATGAAAGTAGAGTAACGAAAGAAGTGTACAGAGCGGATATGAATGGGGCCGTCAGTAGAGTGCGCCCTAGACGGATATATGTATATTGACCAGATTGGCGATATATTAAAGAAAGGCCAAATTAAAAGTAACCTTAACCCACGAGCATGCAAGAGAAGATTGATGACTGTTGATGAAGCGAAAGAGGTATGTAGGAATCGTAGCAATTGGCGTTCCATAGTCTCTGCCTACCCCCGTGGGAGACAAGCTTTTTCGTCAAATGTTGACTAAGATTGTGAACTGTTTTTCAACATGTACCTAATGAATATTGTAATGAATATTATGAGAAACCCTCATCTGCAAATTTATTAAACAAAACATTGTCGATGGTTTCTTTTGAATAACAAAATTACACTTATGATCTATCGATGCGAAACCAATCTATGTACCTTAAAATCTTTCCTACTATAAAAAATATTTGTAAACTACAATCAAATTTGATAACATTGGTCACGAAAATAAATTAATATGTAATATCGGGTTATCGCGCGCCGTATGTCTTACTTACAATCGATACCGACTACCACATCATTCAAAAATGCACTGTTTAAAATTACTTACAATGTAAGAATAGTTCAGCCTGTGCTCTCCCCTGGCTGTTCTCCACATGACATCTGTATGCTCCGGCGTCTTCCCTGGACATCTCCACCACCATTAGGCTCACAGTGTGACGGTACCCTCTAGTTGTCATGCTCAACCTGTGTTTTGAACCTAAGGAAATTACAAACACATGAAAAGGGCACGTATACATTTAGTTATAAAGATCATTATAGTTTGTATAAAGACAAATTATGATTGTTCTAGTTGTCGTAACAATAAGTAAGAATCTAGCCCAGTATGTCAGTCTTTAATTGATTGGAACCCTTCTTTATTATTATTTTGAAAATAAAAAAAAAAGTTGAAATTGAATTTGGATTTTTTTATAATTATATTTTTCGTCATTAAATGCAGTATTTTTAAATGACCGTCGGGTAAATGTTTTGTGACATGCTATACTATAATTTTTTATTGAAATAAAACCAGGTCATTCCAGTTGAAACAAACACGTTATAAATAAACAACAATAGAAAAAGTAAAGTTCGAGGGCATTAAAATTAATTTTTAACTAAAGTTTTGATTTCAATAAAAATATTTCCATTGATAAAATAATTGAGAACAAACTTAAAATTATTTATTGCCTGCGGCAAAGATTGTGCTATTGTTGGTATTCTGCGGTTGTCTCGTATTTTGTTTTTATTTCTTTGTTTGCAAACTCGGTTTGCGGTTCCTAATCTATTTAAAAAATATATATTTATTTTTCTTTTACTTTATAAATTATATTATAAAAATAGAATCAGCTCAGTTCAAACATATTGCACACGTCTTTACGTTAGAGTAATACTAAAAATATCGTAATATTGTTTTTAAAGTACAATTACGTTTAATTTCCTGATTATCACTTCACTTTAACGATGTACCATATAAAAGTTTATACAATAAAGCGCCTTCGTAAGAAAAATAATTACAGTCGAGTCATAATTCTTCAGTGGCAAACTTTCAAAACTCTGGAGCTCTCATTAAGTGATACATCAAAGAGTAATAAACTGGAATCTTAAATAATAATTGTAATTAAAAACTTTGTGCTGTTTTGTGTAGGCATGATTACTTGGGAGACTGTCGTTTATTATCCTTGACGGATATTTCGTTTATTTGTTGGCTTTGAACAACTACAACATAAAGATAGAATGGCTCTTTTGTATTTGCTTTGAAGTTTCATGAACCCTAATTGAATGTTCCTTTAACTATGTACGGCAATCTATTTCACTTTGTGCCTAGTTATTTTTGTTAGTTTCTTTGCCGATTTTCCCTTTGTAGTGATGGCTGCTTGGATTTATATTGTGTTTATATAATATTATTCACATTGTCCCCGAACTTAATGAGACTTGGATGAGAATTAAGTTGCCAGCGCCGAGATTTATAGACGACATTACTTAGAGATAACACAATTACTTGCTTTATATACTATTCTATTGATAACAGAAGAATTCGAAATATTCTTAATTAAAGTTAATTAAGATTATTGTTAGAAAGCTCTGTTAATTACAAGTACTTAGAGAGATATTAATATTTTGATATAGACTCTTTTATCATAAATATAATTTAATATTTGTCTCACTTTTGTATCTAACCAGCCAACGGTTATGAAAAGTATATAATAGATGACGAGGTATGAAAATTAAAAATCTAATTAGTCCGTCTTACTGACGGACTCACGGAATCAAATTTTAGGAGTAAGAGTATGTCATTTTAGAGTATACATCGTACTTACTCAAAAGTGACGCCATGCGATATTTCAAATCGATATATTTTCGAAACAAGAAAGAAAATAGAAAATACGTGTCTAATGTATTAAAATAATCTACCAGATAGACATTAAAATAAAAATTAGTCATCTACCCTATTACAGAATAACTTTTGCTATAACAATCTAATTAACAATACATAATTACTTATTCTTTCTTAGCGCAAACTAGCGATTGTATCTTGGCCTAGAACAAAACATAACAGTTACATAGAAAGTCACTTGCTATTATTTTTATTAATAAACTTTTTTATTTCCTTTGCTTTCAGTTTAGCAATTTGTTTTAACTTTCATATAATTGTATGGAAATAAAGTTTTCCTGAGGCGTTGTTCTAGTTCGATGTAAAAGATGTATTTATATGCTTAGTATTAGTACTACATTACTTCTGCAGCTTTAAAATTATGTTATAGATGTTACAGTGTTGTTGTAGCTATGACAGGTTTTTAATTATTTTATATTATGTTTATATTTTTGTATTTACATGAAACATTAAATTTAATTTATAGGTTATCAATTACTTATATTAAATAAAAACAAGGTAGCACTTACCATTCACAAGCCGCTGCTCTCCATTCAGAGTCCAGTGGACCTGAGGGACTGGATACGCTTCAGCAGTGCACTGGAGAGTGACAGAACCGCCAGAGGGTGCCCGTATAGCAACTCTGCCCGCCCATACTGACGGGGCAACTACAAACAAAGAGAGTAGATAAAAAAAAATGTTCTGGAATATTCTAATTTGGGTAAAAAATGGTATAATGAACCCTTCCAAGAAGTCCTTCAATTAAGACTTTGGGCGACTAAAAAAATATTAGATGGTTGTAATCTAATTACTAAAACTAACTACAAGATTTTTATAAAAATATTTCAGTGGAAACCCTTTGTTTTTATGGACTAAACCACAAGATCGTCTATTTTGTAAAAGTGTAGTAATTTTGTTAATTTTTGGTAATATTAATTAGGCACCATGTTGAGATAATGGGGGAACTATTATGCAAAATTGGTAAAATAATTTGAAACTCAGTCTCTCTTGGAATTCGTTTGTAAGAAGTAGTGGTACCTACCTTAAAAGTTTTCGTTATTAATGAACATTGAACCGCGGTCGGGAATTTTGACCAACAAAGTTCAAAGTTACGATCGAGTTTAATGGATTTTTTAAATGAGATATAGATACCCATGTTGTATTGAAAACTTGTTTAAACGTAACAGTTTTTGAGAAACTAGTATTTTGAAGATATTATCCACTTTATACTGTTTTGATGAATTTATCAACTACCGATTACCAAGCAAAAGCTCTATGATTGTTCTCAGTTCAGAAGCCCTTCGTACGCAGCGAATAAAAACTCATTATTCAACATAATCCGTGGCACGATGGAGCGCGTCATCTTACAGGCCTCGCAGTGACAGCCTCAGGGCTACTCTTAATTGCGGCGGTTATAAATGATGTAATTAATTTCAGTGGAGACTCACATATCACATTAATCAGGATTCTCTTGCTGACTGAAGGAGGCACTCCGTTTGTGGCGATGCACAGGTACGCTCCTGACAGCACTCGTTCGACGCCAGTTAGGTTCAACCACTGGCCCGTCCATTTGGACACTGTGAACAAAATGTCTGTTAAACAAGATAGTACTGTCTCGTTGGTCAAGTGGTCACAAGCGTGAAGAGTTAGGTATATTGTCTACGACACGTCATTTGACGAATGCATGCGCCCTGCAAATGACGAATGCTTGCATCTTTCTTAGAAACAATGAAAACTGTCCACGAATCAGCAACGTTACGTCACTCACTCATCATGCAAACCCACCTATCGTCCTTTGCGGTTGCAAACATTCGTCCAATGACGCGGCGGCGTGGACAGTAGCTATAGCGTATAAATCTAAGTAAGAGTTTTCGGTGCAGAAGGAATGCGCATTGATCATCACGCTAGCTCAAAGCAGATTGAATATATTGGTAGTGAGCCATTACCTAACTTGCAATGCAATCTTACCAACGCAAGATTGAATATTCTCGGGTCGGCTTGGTTCTCTGATTAGGTTACTACATTTCAATTTCGATATCTCAATAGTGGGACGATGTTTGTTTGTTTGTGGTACATGTGTGTATGACCATGTATGTCAATAGAGAATATATATACCATACCTGTCTGCCTTTGTAGAATGGGTAAATATTATACAACTATTGAACCATTCCAGTTAAAATATCCAATAAAATATACTCATTTTACCTAACTCACTTAAAATTATTCAAATAATTTGATGATAAAATCTACCTTTCGATTTAAAATTGTATTACTTATAAATAATACTAAGTGGAATTTAATGGCTGAAAAATTGTTTGGTTAAAGTTTTATCTATTTGTACCTAAATAAGATTGAACAAAATTGAAGCTCCGATTGTGAAGAAAATATTGCTTAATTTACAAAGACTAAGTTGTTTAAAGGTCTTTGGTTCAATCTATTTAGTTGTTCAATAAGTTTTATAACTTAATATCTATAATGTTTCCTTCAATAGTTACATGTTCTTTTCTTATGAGATATAACAAAGGGTGAGCCCCCTAAGCCAAGTGAGCTCGGTAGTACTACATCTTTCTTCTATCCTCGCGATGTGATCACTGATCTGCCGATAGGAACCATTGTCTATCTTATTTGGAGAAAGTAATTTCCTGGTAAATACATCAGTATTAGCACAAGGTATATTTGATATATTTCCCTTCCTTTTGTGTACTTTGTCTTTTTGACATCACATTCACAAAGGAAAGGTATTTCAACGTTTCAAGCTATTTTGAACTCTAAAGCCTCTTACTATTTATAAACAAGTTCTTGACGAGCAAATTCAAATGTTTAGAACTTTGAACAAGAAAGTAAATTAGTACTTATTGAGGATAGACGCAAATTTAACTCGAGACAATAATGAGTTAGGAATTCATTTGGAACTTAGTAAAGTTGGTGTTGCCACAGGCCGAGCGGTACTCAGCACAATTTTATAACACCGTTCGTTTGAGCACACAATGCAAATAAGAGAGCTTACATTGAATTTATAGCCGCGGACGCGAAACTTTCCCTTTGTATACCAGTTAGTTCTGGTGGTGACTGGCTGTGTGCATACTGTGACAGTTTTTGCACACTGCCGCTTTATAATGTTTGCGGTCCTCTGTGCGGTAGTGTGAATAACAGATAAAGGTTATTTCTGGCTTCAACTTGATATGAAACAATTGTTTGTACTCGTTGTTTGAATGGAATTAAGGGATCTGCAAATTTTGCTTTTACTGCTCCGTTTATGCATACGATGTTGTTTGTATTGTACCTGTTTACTAAAATCTGCACATTGTCGGGATGTTTTCTTCGGAATTGCCGCTCCTCCAATTATTTTTACGGCCAACAGTTGTTTCTGACGACAACGGGGGGCGTAACGATGTGGTAATTGAAAAACGAAACTCCAACGGAACGCGAACTAGAAAACTAAAATTAGTTTTGTTCGCTTTTATTTTCACCCAAAATTACAGAGGACATTTTAAATTCCGCGTCAAAATTGTCCTATAACGAGACTTTTATTCAAATTGTTAGTTGGAAGAAGAAATGTCGTGTTTATTTTGACGACATATCGTCACGCTTGTTATTTCCCAGAAGAGTTGACACAGGAATACGAAGAGTAGTGAATGGTAATCTATGTTCTCGGACTCATTTTAACGAATTCTGTAAAATTAAAATTCTTGTTATCCCTGTAAAATGAAGTCTTTCTTTTTATGCTTACCTAGTGTTTGGTTGTTAATCTTGAAGTGTCTAGAATCTTCTCTCCTCCAGGCAATGTTGGGCGGCGGAACGCCAGAAGCAACACACCTCAGTGCCGCGTTATCACCTTCTTTCACCAGCACCTCACTACTACTCGCGTCATCATCGATGTCTGGTGGCACTGTTAATATAGAAAAAGTTACCTATACATGTTGAAATTAAGTTTAAAATACTTTAATTGTATTGTGAAATAAGTAATCTTCATTTGTTTTATGCACACTATCTACATTATTCATCTCACGTTAATGGTCCATTACGCACACAATAACTATAATCCGACAAAAGATTCATACAATAGAAACATTAGCGGTAATACTAACGCGTTTCTAATAATATTGTTTCTCCGAAATTAATATTGAATTAGGGATGCTATCCCCTCTTATATCCCAATAATAATATATCATTATACAGAGCCCACAGCTCTAAATATTGTAGCAGGCTGCGATTAATGTTTACTACATAATTACATAAATATTTACAACTTAAAATTAACTACAACTAAACTATTAAATAAAAAAGAAAGTAAAAGAAAACAACAAAAATTATACCCTTAATTTAGGCGTCAAAGTATTCGTCCGCATCACTATCACAGGGGAAAGTTCCCAGAAGACTGGCAGCATTGCCACGTTGAATGGCAATGCTTATTTTCTGTCCGAAGAAAAAGCCAGCCCTCTGGTCACGTGTAGAGTCGATTAGCCTACGGGCGATGTCTTTAAACACAGAGTGTGCACTGGGACCCCATGGCCCAAGTGTTTCGACCCCAAACGGCTCAAAACAGTAGTTACCCACTAGATTTGAATATTTACGCCGTTTGAGGGCCTCTGCCGCGGAAGCAGCCGCACCAACGCATGCAGCGGTGCTTAAAAGATGTGATGGCGCAAGGGTGTCTACACAAGTCGCGTCCCACACCAAAGGCCTACCCATCTTCCAAGGCAGCAACGACATACCATCTGGTCTTTTGCCGTCATCACGTACCAAACCATTAGGTTCTAATACGGCTGGTACACCGGCTGAGGCAAGAGCACGACGAATGATGTCGTTGATGCTGGCATGGCGAGCTATGCGGCCTGCACTTCTGCAACAAGAAAGACCATGGTGTCCCAAGCCATCGACTCTTTCTCCACAGTGACAATAATGCGGAGAAACACAAGGAGCACCTAAACGTAGGCATACAGCTAGGCGGAACGTTATGTCATCCAACATAGTACCTATGAAGGGTGACGGGAGTGCCTGAAGCCACAATCCTGATTCCCATTCTCCCACAGCCAATAAGCGAGCTCGCTCTGCAGTATTAGGAGACGAGTTGATTAAAGACTCACGAATAACACTGCACAGCGGCACGTCCCACTGTCTCTGAGAAGATGGATGAACAGGTAAATCCGTAAGTGGGCAAGCCATTTTCCACGCTTCCACTGCATCAGTCAAACACGGCACCTCAAAACTGGTCAGTGACGAAGAAAGAATTTTCCTGACCAATTCAGAGGTACTGTGGACCGAAGACAGAAAAGCTGGTAAACTAATACTTGAAATTTTGCGGACGCCGAGCCCTCCCATGCGAATAGGAAGAGTAGCTTGTTGCCAAGCTCGGTCATCCAAAGCCACATTAAGTATGGATGACAATGTGTGTCTGATAATTTTGTCTACGTTTTCTAAAATGTGTGAATGTTTCCATAGATGTGAAGCGCGGAGAATATAAGTAAATTTTGGTCCAAAACAACAGTACCGAATTAGGGTGAAAGCCGAATGTGTGTTGATTTTGTGTAATCTATCCGAAATGTGATTGAAATTTTGTATCTTGTCCTCGATGAATTTAGGAAAACATTCATCGAATATTGGTGAACCTAGGAGGTGAAGTGAGTACTTATCAATAATTTTGATATTTGGAGCTATTTGATTAAATTTTGCTAGAGTCGTTAGTCTGTCTGTAGAGTCAGGAATGTATAGTTCACATTTTGATAAATTTAGGTCAAGGCCAATAGAACTCAGTTTTTCTTTTAATATAGTCAAATCTTTTAAAACAATGTCAACGTCACCTCCTAGAGTTCCGTCGTCTAAATACCATACATTAAATTTGGAATTTAGTTCACGAATAATAGGATTTATAGCTAAACTAAAAATGGCAGGCCCAAGGGGGTCTCCTTGTTGACAACCAACAGCCGATTCTATTAAATTGTCCTTATACAGTAATTTTGAAGGGTTTCTATAACATTGCCAAAGAAAACTGTAAATTTTGGGGATTTCTTTTAGAATTTCAGTCAACAAGGCGTCCCTGCTTACGGAGTTAAAGGCGTTTTTAATGTCAACCTTTAAGACGACCTCACCTTGGTTACTGTTTAAAAATGTGGATAGGGCATGTACCGCAGCCTCGCAGCCCCCTTTGCAACCAAAGCCTAGTTGTGAGGGCTGGAATTTGCTGGCCAAAGACTCATTGTAATAGGCGCAGCAAATTTTGGCTGCGATACGCCTGTATGTACAACCTACAGCAATGGGACGAATACCGCCATCCTTCTTACGCAGAGCACATAAGTTAGCCCCGTATAAGACATCGATGACGGATTCGTTCACATTGCCGGAGAGCATTAGATTGATTAAGGCCGTCAACTCCTTCAAAAGGGACTCACCAGCCTCCCCGGCGCTCGAACACACGAGATCTTTCAGATGTTGTGGTGTCAAGCCGTCGAGGCCGCCAGCTGAACCATTTCGAAAGGAGTCAACGGCCGCGCGAACCTGTTGTGCAGTAATAGAAAGTGAATGGAGTTGAGGGTTTGGTGGGTCAGGAAAGATGAGGTCATCTGCCGGGGAAGGATGTTTACTCTGCAGGGTTGTAACTACCTCTGCAGAGTACGTAGCAACCACATCACTACTAAATAGAACCCTAGCAGCACCACGGATATCGCCATCCGCTATTTTGGACTCTACATGATGCAGCAAACCTTTGTGAGAAAAGTGTACTGATAATTTAGGGTCGAAAGTTTGTGTTTGAGAAAAGCTACATAATTGATCTGTGTTACCGAGAGATAAACTGGAGGTAGTAAATATTTGAATACTTAGTACTTAGACTGCTTTTGAAAGCCCTTAAGTTATGCGTCGGCCTTAATTGATTTCTCTCAAACTACACACATTCAAACAGGTAGGTGATATATGTATTTGACCAGCTGATAGCTGGTTAGTAACTATTTGTTTGCATTGATATTGTACCAGAGAATTTAGCTATCCCAATTTGTCAAACTTTAACTTTATTATTTGGCTCATAAAGTTGAAAATATTTAAATAAACTTCAGGATAGCTTAATATGCTATATGCCTGTATATTGAATTGTGGTTGTTTGCTCAGTTTCACTCTGTACATCACCGTTATAGTTATTGATACATCAAATCGGATCTTACCTACAACTTGTAGTTGATGTGTCTGGCTCATCATAGGCTCTGTGTTGACCTGGCACATGTATCTGCCACCATCAGATGGTCCGATCTCTTTGAGAGTGAGCGTCCAGGCACCATCTCCGTGGCTGACACTGACGCGGTGGTTCTTGGTGATGACGTGAGCAGCTATTGTTAGGATTGTCTGTGTGTCTACCCGAAGCCACGCCACCTAGTTGAGGAAGATTTTTCAGTATTTGTGCTAGACTAAGACGAAATGATGAATGAGAGACATCACCTGACAACAGTGCTTATTTTCATATTTTTGGACCTTTTTCTTTTGTTACCGTTAATTTGTTCACATGGGTTATTAAATTCAATTCAATATAAATATTATGGCCACTGGAGCAGAAAGACATAAATCAAAAATGTAACGTGTGAGCGAAGAACGAACGAATGAATTCTGTGTCACCAAAGCAAAATGTATTCAATACAAAATATAAAATTAAATATAAGAATCAAAGATGCTGGGAAAAGGAAACGTGGCATTTATATTTTCCTCAAAGACATTCTTTACAGAAATCATAACACAAAACGAAGCAAACGTTTTTATCTGAAACATTAAAGAAATTGATCAAGTTAAAGCTGTCAAAAGTCGCAACGGACGAGAAGTTCCCCATTCTTTGTAACAAATCTAAAAATGAAAGAATAATAATAATTCTCTTTTCCCAGTACAAAATTGAAAATGAACGAGGTCTTACAAAAATCTCGCGACAATAATTAAATATTAATAAAATTAGTCGATTCAAAGAAAGTTGAACAACACCTCGAACAGGGAAACTTTGGCCATGAAATATAAAAGTATCTGAAGTTTGAAACTAAAGAATTTTGTAATTAAGAAACAAAACAAAGAGACGAGCGCTTGGATAAGTTCTGATGTTTTACCGTAATGTAATTATTACTCGTGGCGAAGTTATTAACAATGGTAAATAGATTTAGGCTTTATTACATTTTATGTAGAGAAAGACAGAACACGTACTTTCTTACTTGTAACTAATGTTTGTTTTTTACCTTACATCTAAACAGTGGGTGTAAAACATAACCAAATTACATTTATATCGTGTGATGATAGTAACGAAATATTTTATTTAATTTAACTTATTACAACAAGTGTGTGCAGGTAAACTTGCCTTGGGCATTATCTCCCAGGCAACCGTTAACAAGTGCAGAGATGAAAGTAGCAGGTGATTATTTGATTAAGCAACCTTTATAAACAGGCAATGTACCGGTATTAAATCTTACAATCAAAACAAAAAATAAATACTACATAGATAGGTATATTTAAAAACTTATACTGATGTGAAATACACATTTGCAATAACAACACCTTAAAAAAAATATTTGTTATCATCCAAATAAAACAAGTAAATTTTGCGATTATGGGGCAGATACTACCAACAGAATGACGGTGGAACTGGAAAAAACACGAGAAGTAATTAAGATAGCAAAGAGGTTTGTACCACTAATTGTGGGGTTTGTCGACCCTTACTGATTCAGCAATGTGACTTATTCACACGAACGCAGCTCTTGATAAAGAAGGAAAAATAATTAAGAGAAACCATTGAGTCAACATAACTGGCACAATTTTCTGCGTAGATAAAACAAGAAGACGAAATTACGGTTTTAATGTTGATATTATTAAAGAGGGATATAAAGATAATTTATAGTTTAGTAATAGTAAGATTATATATTTCGAAGATCTTTAAAATTTTATTTGCAACTTAGAACCACGTGAAACATTTAACAATACTAAACATAAGACAACGTAAATCACATAGAATGATACCTCATCAAATATAGTAATTCGTCACAATCACATCCATTTAACATAAACAAACCAACCATCACAATTCATTCTAAAAAAAATACAATCACCGCAAACAGTAAAACAGTTGAGAGACCCACAAGACCTAACTTCTATACTTCTATTTCCAGAGAAACACATGGTCCCAGAAATTGTCGTACGCCTATAATAGCCTGGCCTGCGAGGCGGAACGCGGAACACTTTTCTAAGCTCCGGTGAGCACCGGGACGTATCTCTGCGACCAGACGGATGATAAGAAGGTAAGTGAGCGAGAAACTAATGGAGGTCCTACTCCTTCTCGTATTTCTTATATCATTTTATTTATTTATTTTGTTGTTGTTGTTTAGAAATGTGATTATGTGTGCTGTGAACTGATTAATGTTAGGATTCTTGAATGAACGAAAAGTTTGTATGATTAGCGGCTGGTTGCTCCATGTTTAGATTCATTTGAATTTATTGCTTGTGATCAACAGAAAGACACGCTGGTATTGATGTTTATTATAAAGGAAAATTTCGTCGACTATCATAACATTGATTAATGATTCTGCATCGTAGGAACTTACCTTAAACGATTGTAAATTATCAACTCTACATGTGAGGGCAGCATCTCTGCCGACTGCCACGGTGACGTTGGAGCCTGCTCCTACGAACCGTGGCAGATCTGGAACAAGCAAATATTGATATTATTACCTAGTACCAATGAGTAACTGTGGTGGCAGCAGTAGTAAGTGTATCTACGATTTTAAACAGAATAACCGTTATTGCTAATCACTTCCTAGGTGTCCTATAACCATCAAAGTGTCCTTGTTTGAAGAGAAACAATTCAATTTCTTAATAAGTAACACTGACTGGGATATCATAATTTGACCGCACGCTTGGCGCAGTGGCTGGGCAACTGATTGCCGCGCAACGTGTAGCGGATTCGATTCCCGTAAGGGACAACTCTTTGTGTGATCCATAAATTGTTTCGGGTCTGGAAGTCATTTGTACGTGAACTTGATGTTTGTAAACGCACACACGACACAGGAGAAAATCCTAGTGTGGGCCAATGTTTCAAAAAACATCAAATTATCAGAATACAAATTTTCTGTATAACATTTTATAAAGTTAATGTCGTCCGTCCAAAAGTAAACTAAATTCAGAAGAAAAATAAACACAACAATAGACAACCCTTGCCAGCAACTGTCAATATTTTATTTCCCGTTTTATAACAAAACATTGGGGTACTACATTAATTTATAATAAGTTCGACAGGAGAGTAAAAACAAAATGTCTGTTGGCAAACGTCTCGTGGGAAGGAACTTGTAGATACAGTTATGACGGAAGCAGCCCACAGGGACAGTCCGCCGGGACAGTCCCAAGGAATATGAATAAAGGTACAAAACATTGGAACACTCGCAACGTAGGTAACTGGTTGAGATATACACTCGGGACAAATTTTCTTTTCGATCTTTGGTGGGTTTGTATCTAATGTCTGCTGACTGATTGTCAGTTTGTGTGATGTTTTAATTTGATTATTACAATTTGAATTGCTCTGTGTAAGTGTTTTGTTTCTCATCGTATTTAGAAGTCTAGATTCAGAAACGATAGGATCGTTGATATTTTTAGTTGTCTTGATTTCACAAATGATGAGGCCGTTACAATAATAACAATTATACATTCAGAACTACTTATCAATATTCTCAAGAATACACAAAGTAAAAATTATTCAACTATTTTATATTTTACAAGGTTAGTACTTTGTTTGTACTTTTACAAAATTAAATAATTCAGCCCCGTCACATCTTATACATAATTACAGTGTTAGTCTAAGTAAGAAATTTAATTATTACTACCGTAGTACTTCATTATTCACATTAAATCCGAGGACATTAGTCAACCTGTAATCCTGGCTTACTAAACTGACTGTAGCAACAACTTTACTAAAATAGGAACGGGTCTACTAAGTACATGTAATTTTTCAACGGCAGTGGGATTTACTAGGCTGGAGTTAGGCGCCATCCTTTTGTGTACATTCAGGTGCTTTTAGTTCATCATTTAAATGGCAGTTTTGTGATGATCTATTTACAGGCATTTTATTCTGTTTTGGCACAAATGAGTTCAATGTTTTTGAGCATTTATCAACCTTTTAAATGCCTATAAATAGATTTTTAATGTAATTTTTTTTTTGTCTAAATTCTCATCTGCTTGTCATCTGTCATATTAGGCAGTCATTTTCCACATTAACTTCGTTTGTATTAACTCTATTTGTAATAACTGTCTGTTATTATAATGGCTTCATCTTACTCAGATAATACTTCCTTTAAACCAAAACAGTAATGTCACAACTATAACAAAATACGTTGCAAAATTAAACTATAAATAAAAGACCTAACTACACACAATAGATTTTCAATAATACATTTTCACTATCACAAAGCTTTACAGTTATATATAACAGGATTATAAAGAGACTGATTACTAAAATAAATTTCACGTCTAGTTAACCAGTTAAATAACTAAAATACGGCAGGTAACCCAAAACTAGCGGCGTGACCCTTCAAAACTAACCTAACTCGCTACAATTCCTATTCCCTAATACCGGCCAGGAGTACACATAACTAGCCGTAATTCCCTTACATAAACGTGGGAAGGGTCCAACGAATTTAATCAGAACTAATTCACAGGGTGTAGGAAAACTTTCGACTTTACTTAAAGGCCGGTCCGAGGTGCGATTGTATGGAGTTACGATCTTTTGTTGTATACATCGTGTTGTTTTAAATATTGGTTAAGTTTTGAACATATGACGTTTATTGTTGTTGAATTGCTTGTAATTATATGGACAGTAATTAATTGTGATTTTTTTTGTGGCATAAACCGGTAAACGAGCTGACAGATCACCCGATGGTAAGCAATCGGCGTCGCCCGTGGACGCCTGGGGACCACCTTTTGGGGATTAGGAGTTTGAGGATCGTTGGGGATTCAGGGATTGGGGAGGTTGGGGAAGGGGAGGGTAATTGGGCCTCCGGTAACCTCAGTCACACGACGAAACATAACGCAAGCGTTGCTTGACGTCGGTGATAATGTGTACTTCTTTCGTGAGATTTTATTAATGTACTATAGACACAGGGCTATATTGTTCTCGATCTCTTTGATTGTTAATTATATTTATGAATAAATAAATTGCACTTTTACAATTATAGGTAACTGAATTCGATTATTGTGTCCCATTAGTTTTGATATTAGAATTTATGGTATAACTTGATATTTAAATATTAGCTTGTCTCCAAACAAATCATATTCCGTTAACAATCAAATTAGTTTTCTGTTTTCCTGTTCTCTATAATAATGTTGGCAGAATAAGCTTGTCTGTCACATCTCTATTTGGGTCAGCTTCTCAGACTATTACAAGTCAATCATGACCCCGGCACAAATGGCTAACCCCTTTTTACCCAACTCCGATGGGAGCCAAAAATACCTCTCTATACATATATTTTTAAGAAAAAGTTTCCTCAAGTATTCGCTAAAAGAAATCTCAAGCGTGACTTTTTTAAGACATGGTTTTTATCATAAAAAAGGTAAGAAAAATATTAAATTAAAAGTACGTTTTAAACAACCAACTTCGACCCCTTTTTTTAAGTCGGTTAATTATTTATTATACTACAACTTTCTCTTAAGTGTAATAAACAGCTTTCGGATAACCGCATCAAAATCAGTTTAGCCCATCGCGAGATAATCGCGCACAAATAAACATACATACATCAGCCGGTCAAACTGAGAACCTACTTTTTTGAAGTTGGTTAAAACCTATCTTGGTTAGTCAATACTTAAAAGAACTTATCAGTTTATTACACGTTTCCCGGAACTTCAGTAATAAAAATTGTAAAATTTATAAACATAATAGTCTCAGTAAATACGAATTTAATTCCGCATATATACCTCAGAGTACATTCCTAGACCATCTATTTCAAAATCCTATTTTAACTCGTCGAGTACCGGTTTTGTAGACACAATTATAGAACAATAGGTTGCGGTCACCGGTGACCGCTTGGTGTTTGACAGTTTAATTATAGAATTAAATAAATAAAACCATTCCCGTTTCCTACTATCCTTACGGAGTGGTAAAACAAATGACTGCGAATAAGAGATTTCGAGAAATATTCCTGTTTTTATATTTAAATGAAGGGTCAGTGATTTGTACTAAAATCCGGGAATTCCCACATTAAACAGATTTGCTTCATTCAAACAAAACCATGTAGTAGCCTAAAACAATATCACCCTGTATCCCTCGTAGGGGCAGGTAGCACCGACCATTATTCATTTGAGTTAGAAAAGCAAGCAATTATGATTAATTAAAATATTTTACATGTGTTTTAGTAGGGAATAAAAAAACTCGAGATTTTGGACGAAAATACCCCAAAGAAGCTTTTGAAAATTAACATTACTTTTTATCTCTGAAGAAGTGTTTCATGCAATATAGCTTATTAGAGATGATTGGTAAGTGTCCAACTAATTAGATATGCGCATGCAACTACTAAGAAAATCCTTAGCATCTAGTCGAAACCACGAAACGCGCTTACGAAGATAATCCACATATTCATAAACTATCGATAAACCCAATGTAAGAAATGTAGAACAAAATCAATAGCAACTACATGCTAATATAATATCCATAATTCCTAATTATATTATATTTCGTTTGTAATGTATGTATAGTATTTATAAAAAATAATGTATTTGTATGTAGTATTCGATATGGGCCTATGATGCCTGTAATAAAATGGTTAAATAAAAATAATAATAATAATGAATATGATGAATGAATGGATGGTGGACATAGCAGTTTCGAATCCCATAGAATTTTAAACAAAAATGTTATATTTCTATTATATAAATTAACCAGTAGTAGCGTCGCGGGCCGCGGAATGCTGGTCATGAAGATGAGCCTCTAGTATAGTTTGAAACTAGTCGACTTCCTCCTCGAACAGTAACGTGAGAAAGCCGAAAATGTAATAATCAATTTAGAAAATTTTGTGTATTTGTAATTTGCAACACCAGATCTAATTTTCAACTAACACATGGGTCAAGTCAATCAGAGCTTAGTATACAAATATGAAATACGACCCAATCGAAAGAAAACCCGACCCCAAAAAACCCTATTTTGATAAAAATCACATAGATAGATAAGATACAGATCGGGGAACCGTTACAAAGACAAATAATATTTCTGTATCCCCCACGGGTGTGATGACAAGTGGCCTGCGTCCTTGAAACTGATGTTACTTCCTTTTTGAAAGTTTCTCGCATTTTATCTGAACGTGATCAAACAACACACGTAGCTCTCATATCCACCATGTTTGTTTTTTCTACGTCTCCCACTCTTATTGATTACTTGATCTTTGCTCTTTGGTTTGTTTTGTTAGTATTAAGAAAAGTTTTTATCGTATCTTTAACCTTTTTTTTCAAGTTTAAAATGGGGCTTGGCAGAGACTATGGAAGCCATTTGTTACTCTTCTTACATACCTCTTTCACTTCATCAATAGTTATCAGCCTTTTCACGCATGCTCGTTAGTTCAGGAATATTTTAACTAGGTCCTTCTTTAATATAATTATCGCCATTTTGCTCGATATACCTCCATCTAGGGCGACCTCTACCGACAGCCCCATTCATATCCGCTTTGT